CTCTCATCCCTATACATTGCGTCAATTCATCACTCTTATCCCCATAGATTGCGTCAATTCATCACTCTTATCCCTATAGATTGCGTCAATTCATCACTCTTATCCCCATAGATTGCGTCAATTCATCACTCTTATCCCTATAGATTGCGTCAATTCATCACTCTTATCCCCATAGATTGCGTCAATTCATCACTCTTATCCCTATACATTGCGTCAATTCATCACTCTTATCCCCATACATTGCGTCAATTCATCACTCTTATCCCCATAGATTGCGTCAATTCATCAATCTTATCCCTATAAATTGCGTCAATTCATCACTCTTATCCCTATAAATTGCGTCAATTCATCACTCTTATCCCTATAAATTGCGTCAATTCATCACTCTTATCAATATAAATTGCGTCAATTCATCACTCTTATCCCTATAAATTGCGTCAATTCATCACTCTTATCCCTATAAATTGAGTCTATTCATCACTCTTATCAATATAAATTGCGTCAATTCATCACTCTTATCCCTATACATTGCGTCAATTCATCACTCTTATCCCTATACATTGCGTTAATTCATCACTCTTAGCCCTATACATTGCGTCAATTCATCACTCTTATCCCTATACATTGCGTCAATTCATCACTCTTATTCCCATAGATTGCGTCAATTCATCACTCTTATCCCTATAGATTGCGTCAATTCATCACTCTTATCCCCATAGATTTCGTCAATTCATCACTCTTATCCCCATAGATTTCGTCAATTCATCACTCTTATCCCCATAGATTGCGTCAATTCATCACTCTTATCCCCATAGATTGCGTCAATTCATCACCCTTATCCCCATAGATTGCGTCAATTCATCACTCTTATCCCCATAGATTGCGTCAATTCATCACTCTTATCCCCATAGATTGCGTCAATTCATCACTCTTATCCCCATAGATTTCGTCAATTCATCACTCTTATCCCCATAGATTGCGTCAATTCATCACTCTTATCCCCATAGATTGCGTCAATTCATCACTCTTATCCCCATAGATTGCGTCAATTCATCACTCTTATCCCCATAGATTTCGTCAATTCATCACTCTTATCCCCATAGATTGCGTCAATTCATCACTCTTATCCCCATAGATTTCGTCAATTCATCACTCTTATCCCCATAGATTTCGTCAATTCATCACTCTTATCCCCATAGATTTCGTCAATTCATCACTCTTATCCCCATAGATTTCGTTCCAGAATTCATGTTGGTAATCTTTTTGACTGTCCTCAACCAACTTGTCAAGTATTGGAGAATTTTAAAACTCCTTCATTTAGTAAACTAATTTGCATATTTGGCAATTACACTTGAAGCGATACTGACACAAGATTCAATCATTTTGTTGCATTGATCTTCTGTTGAAATAATTCCAGCATACCTTCAATAGCAGACGATGCGAGCTACAATTTGCATACCTTCAATAGCAGACGATGCGAGCTACAATTTGCACCATATTGTCACCGCTCATTAACTCTATCTGCGACATCTCTTATTAAATTCTATTGATTATAAACTGTAGGGTGCTACTCAGTGTAATGGTAACATTTTCAAGCCCCCCCCTCCCCCACCCCCACCCAACCCCGCGTTTTCTTCATTTTCTGATGCATAGTAACTATGAACAATTTCATGAAAATATCTATAAATATTTACCGGTAGCTCAAAGGACAGAAATGTTTTCATGTGTAAATTGATCACGATAAAATGTTATTTAATTAAACCAGAGTGTTGCTTTAAATCATTATATAATTGTTCCATATACTACGGATCATCAACAGAGAAGACAAGCGTCATCTTCCCGAGGAAGAATCTCGGTGTATGGCTGATTGGAGGAACTTTTTGCAAAAATCACTGGACCCAAACTTCCTTCAATTCAACAAGTGCTTCACTTCCTCATCCTAATTCCATGAACATTTCGGCGAGTGCCACATCAACTATTATTCAGTCCTGGGACAAGGAACGTATGCCTATTCGTTAGGACTGCCAGATCATCACAAAAATAAACGATCTTATTCGTCATGGCCTGGTATTATGAAGAATGCATCTCGCAGAACGAACGGCAATTAACTGACAGTTTTCAGGATCTTTTTGAAACGGAACTCTCTGGTCATGATAAAGCTATCTGAAGACATAGCCATTCTACAAACTGACGCTCTGGACATGATGAAGCTACCTGAAGACAGAGCCATTCTACACACTGACGCTCTGGACATGATGAAGCTACCTGAAGACAGAGCCATTCTACACACTGACGCTCTGGACATGATGAAGCTACCTGAAGACAGAGCCATTCTACACACTGACGCTCTGGACATGATACAGCTACCTGAAGACAGAGCCATTCTACACACTGACGCTCTGACATGATGAAGCTACCTGAAGACAGAGCCATTCTACACACTGACGCTCTGGACATGATGAAGCTACCTGAAGACAGAGCCATTCTACACACTGACGCTCTGGCAATGATACAGCTACCTGAAGACAGAGCCATTCTACACACTGACATGATGAAGCTACCTGAAGACAGAGCCATTCTACAAACTGACTATCTGGACATGATGAAGCTACCTGAAGACAGCGCCATTCTACACACTGACACTCTGACCATGATGAAGCTACCTGAAGACAGAAACATTCTGCACACTGACGCTCTGGCCATGATGAAGCTACCTGAAGACAGAGCCATTCTACACACTGACGCTCTGGCAATGATACAGCTACCTGAAGACAGAGCCATTCTACACACTGACGCTCTGACCATGATAAAGCTACCTGAAGACAGAGCCACTCTACACACTGACGCTCTGACCATGATAAAGCTATCTGAAGACAGAGCCATTCTACACACTGACGCTCTGACCATGATAAAGCTATCTGAAGACAGAGCCATTCTACACACTGACGCTCTGACCATGATAAAGCTACCTGAAGACAGAGCCATTCTACACACTGACGCTCTGACCATGATAAAGCTACCTGAATACAGAGCCATTCTACACACTGACGCTCTGACCATGATAAAGCTATCTGAAGACATATAATTCCTTCAAGTACAGAAAGATAATGGGAGGCGCGGGAGCATATGGTCCGTTTTTACTTGGTGTTGGCTCGGAAAAGAGAAAGTTATCCAAAATGGCCAGGCAATGAAATCTGACCGGATGCAACAAGCGGCGACTAATATGGAGTTTAGCAGTAGTGTAAGTGAAATTGGAACCAGTAGGGATGCTGGCTGATGAGGTCTCCGTTCAGCAACAAATTTCTTGTCAACCGAGGCTAAACAGGCCAATTGATATTTTCAGTTCAGGTTTAGCAGCTGCATTAGACAGAAACAAAGTCAACCGGAATGCAGCATACGTCATTGCATCAGAATCAGTTGGATATAGTCAGCCCTACCAATTAACAAAGAATCAACCAGAAGAGCCAGGCACAAGCGTCGCTAAAAAGACACAGGCAAAATTTGATCGAAACTGTCCATTAATAGTTCATTGATGTGGAAAAATGTTGCCTGCTTTAATTCCGAGTACGTCATTGATCGCCTTGTTGTCCTGGTGTCTGGAGAAAGAGCAATGAAGTTGTTGGGGGTGCCAACATTTCCAAATGTAACCGGACAGGAAGAGGCCACTGCATTGTTCAAGAATGAAACCTCGCTGATATCACTACAGTTAGCAGCACTAGAGTTCATGCTGGCGCCTGCATACTTTTCAAGAAATTCTTGCCAGGTTGATCAGCTTACCATGCACGCATCACATCACAGAAATAATAGTGGTCATTGGCCCAGAAACTATGGCTATATTGTTGGCCCAGAAACTATGGCTACATTGTTGGCCCAGAAACTATGGCTGTATTGTTGGCCCAGAAACTATGGCTGTATTGTTGGCCCAGAAACTATGGTTGTATTGTTGGCCCAGAAACGATGGCTTTATTGTTGGCCCAGAAATTAGGACTATATTTTACGGAAAGTGAGGAGTTGGAAAGTGGCCATCGATGCTGCCGAGCGCTAAGTGTGTGTGTGTGTGTGACAAATTAAGATCAAATTTTACGTAAATAAGGTATACTATCGTGTTTTGCCAAACATTGTCAGTGTTGAACCACCTGTCAATATCATAAAACATTGTCAGTGTTGAACCACCTGTCAATAGCATAAAACATTGTCAGTGTTGAACCACCTGTCAATAGCATAAAACATTGTCAGTGTTGAACCACCTGTCAATAGCATAAAACATTGTCAGTGTTGAACCACCTGTCAATATCATAAAACATTGTCAGTGTTGAACCACCTGTCAATATCATAAAACATTGTCAGTGTTGAACCACCTGTCAATATCATTAGACGACGTTCAAATTTTGTAAACATTTTTCTTTTCCCACTATTAACACGTTTGAGGGGTGGGAAGACAAACTAGACATATCAATTTTGAGTGGCACCCTACTGTAGGTGGAGATTTAATATGAGGAAGCGGCCCATATATAACAGACGAGAATGGTCCACATATCGAAGAGGCCCTAGAATCACTGACAGGAGCAGCATATGCTGCCAAAATTTGACCAGCCTATCTTGATTTTTACCACTGGGCCTGTCCGCCCCTGCTCATAAGACCAACAAGTTTTGGTAAAATTAAAACAATATCAAGTGTCAATTTGGTCACACTTAAAAATCCTATTAGTTGATATTAGTTGAAAAAGTATCTTTAAATTACGCAGGTTTTTAAAAAGATTTACCAGTAAAGAATCTTCAGTGATAAAATGTGACGGTGGACTCCGGTGGACATACTCTAATCAATGGTCCCTTTAAGCTGCCCGGCATCTCACAGACGCCGCGCAGCAGTTTTGAGTACCACGCAGCAAATTTCCATGTAAGTGTGTGTTTGTTTTTGTAAAATTTTGCACACAAAAAAATTGATGCTGTAAAACTTTGCACACAACTGTATGATTTTGTACACGAACCAACAAACCTTAGAGGGAACATTGACTCTAATTAAATTAAATATAAAGCTCTACAATAATACAATTTACAAAGAAACAAACATGAGGCCAATGAGTCAACAGTCTACTTTTGATATTCAAATTTCTTGAACCAACTTGGTTGAAAACATTGACATGACAAACAGCTTGTAAATATACAAAAGTTGATTCTAACTAATCTTTGTGATGGCCACTTCAGGAATGTAATATCAGAAAGAAATATTGTACAAGTTTATGCGTGGCCTCTTGTTAAACAAAGAAACAATAAGCTGTTACATTACATTTTAAACTCATTCTACTCATTGAGTTTGAATTATCAGAAAGCATGGAAAAACTAATTGTTTTCTCAATAAATTTGAACAATTTAATAAAAAATAATGTCCATTAAAAAAACAAAGCATACAAACAGCTCCTCGCCTTGACCAATGAATGAGGTGTGCTGTCTGGATCAAAGTTAGATGGAATCCTAAAATTCTGATGAAGGTGACAGTAACTGAAGTAAAGAAACAACAATGAAACTTCTTAAAATGATCAACACACAGAGCTATGTAGCTGGATTACGTTCTAGGCATTAGTAACAAAATATGGACTTGTAAATTTTTATAAGTTGTTAAATCTGCTAAATTTTTTTAAAAAACCTCTCAAAGTCTTTTCTTCTTTATGTTCAAACATAATTTGACATAAAATTTGATAGAAAATAACTCAAGTTCCTACATGTACTGGAAAACACCTTATCATTCAAACTGTAGAAACTTTATGTACAAAATGAGTACAATAATGTGCAGTTGATATGATAAGGGTACAAACATTTGTTAAAAATATGTACACAAAACAATTTTTATTTAAATATATACATGAATACATATTTAAAGTTTTGTTTGAATGTATTGAGCTAACTATTCTGAACGTGTAAAATCATTATTTTAATTTTTTTAAAATTAACTCCAAATCCATTCAGGAAAAACTGCAAGGTTTGTAATTATCTTTTTCTCAATATCTCACTTGAAAAAAAGAAATAAATAAAATTTATTTTAAAATTAACTAATCGAGTGGTATATTGGAATGACATAACCATTTAGCTGTCTTGGGTTCTTAATATTATGATAATTAGCAAACCTTAAACAAAAATGTAAGCTACCAAACAATTTAAAAAAAAGAACTGTAAAACATTGGCCTGTGTAAGTTAACTTAAAAAGTTTGACCATTTATCCATATGAAATTTCAAGATAAAACTATTGATAGCTATGAAATAGAAATAAATTATATTTTGAAGATATGATAAAAACTAATGGAAAAACCTTAATAATTTCAATTACAAGGTAGGATGAGAAAGTGCAGCAAAGAACTAACAAGTGGGAAATACAAAGGCATGTTATTAATTTGATAGCATAAATAAATTTCTTAATTTGTTATTTTACATTTGCCTAAACTTATGCTGTTAATGAATATCATTGCTCAAATTAATTATGAAACTTTTATGAAAATTTTGTTGCAAAAAAAAAAAAAAAATAATTAACATAACATATACAGTTAAAAGATTATCTCCAAAAACATGGACATGTAAAACAGAAGTATACATTCTTTCACTGACATGATCATTTACTCAGCTCTCTGCACAGCCAAGCAATACATTTGTAATTATTATTTCCCATTATTGAAATGTTTGAACTCACAAGGCACTTCAATTTATGATTAAAATGAATCCTAAACTTAACATATTTATAATATCAAACCTCGTTTTCATATGGTAAAATTACTTTAATTTAATTTAAGAAAATTATAAGATCTTATCTATTCAAAAATATAAGAAAACAAATCTAAAATTTTTAAATCCAAGGCTTACAAACTTTAGGAATGTATAAATCTTGATTTTATTTCCCTTTAACATTCTCAAACATTTTAAACAAGCAAGATTCTTCCTATTCAAAAAAAAAGTTTATACATTTTGCAAACCAGATTTTCATTTACTCACTACACATGTTCACACACTCGTATCATAAAATTCTTAAAACTGCTATGACAGCACTGAACAGACAAACAATGAGAGCTGGAGTAGTTGACCATTTCACTGCACTGTTGCAACCATCCCCAGTGCATGTGTAGATGCAAGCACGGTACATTCTGTCGTGATCTGGGAACCAGATATCCTGACACTGGTCGCCGAGGTCTCTTGAACTACAGAATCTGTGTGTGCCAACAACACCTGGTTTGATAAAAAGGAAAATGGTTTATTGTCTAAGAAAACACTCACTGAGCTTTCTCTTCTGAAACTTAAAAAAAAAATCAAACTCATTATTTTAAACAATACAATCATTATTTTGAAAAATTATCAAAGCCAAATTTCTTATTTTATATGTATTAAAATTGTTTAAAAAAATACCAAGAAATTGTGACACAAATATTTACACCTTGTAATTTCACATTTATTTAAATTTATATTTGCTAGAGTTAGAATATCGTCAGGACTATTTTGGTACTGATATTTATAACTTGTTGCATTTAAGTAGTAAGCTGAAAAAGGAAATCTCAAATTAAAAAATGAGTTATTATGGGGAGACAAGAAAAGAAATAAGCATCTGGGGCTGCATCGTCAATTATATATTTTTTTCCAATCTATCACAGTCACACTAAATCTGACCAATTTATTCTCCAACAGACCCTGTAAATAAATACAAAAACTATAAAAAAAAAATTACAGCTCTGTGACTCTATATGATTCGTGTTTATTCATGAGGGTTATTTTTAACACAAAATGAAAATGTATTGTAATGTTACAATAAACTAGTCAAATTTTTGGTTGAGTAGCTATTCATATGAGGAATGAGCAATTCAAAACTAATCTTGTTTGCAGTTCCTCCTACAAAATTTTTTCTGCCATTTCATTCAAAATCAGTGTCATCCTTTGATACATTCAGAAGATGAAATATGTTTCTTAAACAAACATGCAACCTACCTCCCCACATGCCCGTCACCTTGATACAAAATTGTGCATTCCACATGTTGCAGGTTCGATACTTCTGCTGGTTGTATGAGAGTGAGGAATCCCACATTTCCTGGCAGTTACTGTCCAGTGTTGAGTCACACTGATAACAGCTTAATGCAAGGGCTAAGTGAGAACCAAAGAAATGAAATGACAGAACAGGCAACTGACAAATTATGTATTGCCTCTCTCTTATTATAATTCTGTACATTGGCTAAGACAACAAACATATTATTCGCTAAGACAAAAAAATACCATTGGCTAAGACAACAGACATACCATTGGCTAAGACAAAAAACACACCATTGGCTATGACAACAAACATAACCCTGGAGTATTCATAATCTATCTTTTTTTTCTTACAACCCACACAAATTTAATGACACCATATAACTAATGCAAGTATTTGCATAAACCTTGGTTCTTTTAGTGAAGATCAGCATTCCAGCAAATTATTATTATTATGGATTATTTTATATGTCCCATAGCATTTGAACATTGAGTAATATTCCTTTATAGTATTTTAAAATCTTGCCACACACCTGTAAACCTTTGCAATAAACCATCCAGTTAAATTTATTATCCAGTTAAAAATTTACAGCCATAGATTAAAATTCTATGATTTCTTTTGATATTCAGAATTAAGAGAAAATTTTAGATTACAAATCAGAAATATTAATATTGAAGGAATGAGACCTAACAAAATTTCTACTTGCACAGCAGTTAAACCTTCAGATAATAGTCTGAATACAATTTTCCCTATCATTCTGATTCTGATGATGTATACAAATAACAATCCAAAATGTTTATTTTTATGCAATTTTTTTATTGAATTGGCTATTCACACCCGGGTTTATATTTAAAATATTATTGTTGGGTTTCTAAGACAAAATGAGGTACCAAATGAAAGATAATTGAATTGACTATATGTTTGTAAACTTACTTCTTCAGTTTAACTAAAATAAACTACCACAAATGACATCCCAATAGCATTTAGTCAAAATGGACCCAGACACGCATCGCCCCCATTTGCACCCGGGTCCCATTAGACTCATGCTATTCAGATGTCATTTGTGGTAGTTTATTTTAGTTACACTGAAGAAGTACCTGGGTGCAAATAGTTGCAGCCTTTTCTTATTGTTATTATTGTTAATGATTATTTAATAAGAGTTCATCTCGTTTCATTAGCACGTGTACAGTATTTTTAAAAAAATAGGCCTACCAATATTCCATATTAGGACAATATTGGCAGCATTTTAACACTTATGCATTTATGGCACTTTATGCTTGTTTGAAACCTAATCTTATTAATATTATAGGCTATAGTTCTCCTAACAAAGTGTAATGTGTTAACTCAATTGAGTTAGGGCATTGAAGTTTTTAATGAAATATTAATCAAGTCCCAACCAAGATTTCCAGGGATATTAAAAGTGTCTTAGAAAATTCTAAATAGTAAGTTAAGTAAGCTTAATTAATATCAATATCAGTATTAATCAATAGAGTACAGACATTGACATAGTGATAGTGACATAGACATAGATTTAATTGGTCTACCATTTTTTTGGTACTTTATTTTGGTTAGTTAAGTTAGAGAGAGTTCTTATAATTTATAACCTTGTGATTTGTCAATTCTGTGATTAAAGTATATTTATCAAGTAATCAAGTTAATCAAGATAATGGTACAATGGCTCATTTTTTAAAACGGGAATGAAACTCTCAATTAGAGTACAGTACAGTATTTAATTATTATAGTTATGTATAGTGTATAGTATTAGTATTATTAGTGACTAATATGCGGCCAATTAATCAGACTTTCACATAATTAAAACTTAGGTTGAAATATAAATAAGAATCTCATGCAGAGAAAATATAATTTATAGACACTTTTAGCAGTTTTAGTCACTTTGCAAATGGCACGGCATCTCATTTAGCATTTCCGCATTCGAAAATCATAGGAAGGGCCCGTTTGCTCAGATTGCTAACCGAAACTTGTTAGAGAAATTTTAACAATCAAATGAATTTACCTGTTTCAATGAAAGCCGGAAGTAAGACTATCATAAAACAAAAGTACTTTTGTTTATTCATTTTTAAAATATAATATGTTGTCAACTTTTAAATTTGTCAACTACACCGTCAACAGCCTTCCTTTTTGCCAATGCGAAGGACAGGAAGTTACCTATGACCTAGTAAAGGTAAACGAAGTTATTTACCTGCGACATGGGCGCCATCTTTCTCAAGGGAAAGTACCGTAAAAAAAAACACTTAATTTGCCATTACTTCATTTTAGTAGTGTCCCTCTAAAAATATTCCTTGCATGTATTTCAAACATGTGCATTGTTTCTTTCAGAACTTTCCCCCCCGGGGGACTTCAGATTTTCGGGGCACTGCCCCCCCCCCTGAGATATAGCTGAAAGGAGCCCTGAACATGTGTTTTCAGAAAATTGTTAAAGGAGAGTACGGGAAATGTTGAAAAAAAGGAAAGACAAAAATCACTGTATTCAGTGCGGCCGCTAGGTTAGTGACGCCAGGAAAAAAAACTCTGCTGCTCTCCGACGATGCAAACCTCCATATAAAGAAATAAGTAGGCTATAATTCCGGCTTCGGTTTCGGCGCCGAACGTGGCCATTTGATCACTTTCGGCCTAGTTTCGGTCGAAACTGAAAAGTTAACTTTCGGCTTAATTTCAGTTTCTGCCAAAATTGACTGGGACTTTCGGCCATCCGGCCGAAAGTGACTGAGGTTTTCGGTCATCTACCTGAAGTCAGACTGTCAGTCACTAGGCCGACAATCTGATATTCACTAGTGCTCGACGTCATGCTGTCATTGTATGTTATATGACTAATACAGGCGAAAGCTGCCCACAGCTGCATGACCTACTGGTCGTATATTTCCAAAAAATTAAATTTCAATTAGGCCTAGACAAATGTAAAAAAGTTTTGTGGATGAAAAACTAAGGGAATGGTAATATTTATATCATTATTTTTTTAACATATTTTTTTTCAACCCTAGCTTTATTAAATTCCTTCATTTGTTATCTTCATTTTGATTTATCATTATCACGAAATAACATGGGTGTGCATGTATCACGGGTTCGTATTATATTTATGTAGTAAGTCTACTGCAGACCTATTTACTTTTATGATATTGGCGACCAATTAAGGTGGCTTGCGATTCTCCGTCGAGACCCATAAGAACAACAATTTTAAGAAACCAGGTTAAAAACAATAATTTTCGCCACCAATGGGGGTGAGGGAGGTTGGTCTCCGAACGAAATAATTGCGTCACCAGCACGGAAAGACTAGTGTGTTGTTACTAGGCTAAATATTAATACAGAGATATCTTGCAAGGTATTTATGAAAACACAAAATATTAGTATGACGAAAACAGCGAAACATTGTGGGGATATTTTTATAGCCTTTAAGAACATATATTTTGGTGGCATTTGGCTCCATTAGAGCCATAATAATTATTGTAGATATATGTTCTAGGTTGTAATTATATTATAAAAGCAAAGGACACCCAAGGATCTATAATGCATTAATTTTGTCCCCCCTCCCCCCCCCCTTCCCGTCCTTTTCCATATACTCTCCTACTATACTAATTTAAAAATATTTTAAAGAAATTTAAAATTACTTTAAATTAAAATGGTAAAAACCAAAGAATTCATTAGATCAGGGGTCCCAAAATCAAATCATCCGGGGCCCACAGGAGTTAGAGTCGGATTGAGACTGGGCTGTATCGAGTATTCAACACAAAAAGCGATTACAAATTCATTAAAGTACAATTGTTACAATCTGCTCAACGTATAAAATAAAAACATTTAGTCCGATGTTAAAACGGTTCTTACCATTATAAGAAAAACGGTTCTTACCATTATAAGAAACAAACAAATATATAGAGACATAATAAAAATCAGAAATAGACTAGTCGATGCGATTCGACTGAAACCGTCGTGGAGGGTCACGTTATGAAAATGGGGAAAACGCGCCGGCCGCATTAACACTAAACTTTGCTGTCATGTAGCGGGGCGCTAAATATCGTTTTGCGGGTCACAAATGGCCCGCGAGCCGCGAGTTTGAGACCCCTATATTAGATGTTTATTTAGTAATTTCACGAGTATACCATTTTTATAAAACGAATGTAAATATTGTTACTTTTCCCCATCATTTTCGATGTATGCAGCATGCATGCGTTAAAGAATTTAGAAATATCTAAATATTTCAGTTTCGGCTTCGGTATCGACCGAACGTCTCTTTAAGCTTTTGGTTTTGGCTTTGGTTTCGGCCGAAAGTCATTTAAAAACTTTCGGCCTACTTTCGATTTCGGCCGAATGTCATTTTTAAATTTAGGCCCAGTTTCGGTTTCGGCCGAAATCAGCAAATCACTTTCGATCGGTCTCTAAAGTAGGCCTACTGCCCTATTGGGACCCGGGTCCGAGAAGTGAGAGTTTGGGCTTATTAAAAAATATGGAAAAATTATTGTAGGGTTTGTAAGACAAAATTTGGTATCAAATGAAAGATAATTAAATGGAAAATATGTTTGTAAACTTAATTCTTAAGTTTAACTAAAATAAACTACCACAAATGACATCCCAATAGCATCAAGCATATAAAGAAAAAGTGACACTCCATCCGCATTATTTCGACGCTACAGTGGCGTACCTACATTGTTTGGCGTCAGGGGGACAATATGCCTTAAAGCCCCCCTCTAACTCTGAAACCAGTTATTTTCAACAAATTAATTCCATCAATGCCGATTCCTCCCCCTCCCCGCCCCCCACCCAAGTTTGGCACCGAGGGAAATCTGCTACTGCCAACTGGCAT